CTCGCTCCTGTAATTGTTGTTCCTTCCGTTTCAGCTCATTTGCTGCAGCATCCGAGTACTGCAGCCTCTCTGGCTCCCACGATCTCCAGCATCTTCTATCAGAATTCTGCTTTTGTTCTTCTGTCACCAAGTCTGCTATCAAGGGATGCTGCAGAATATCTTCAACGGAAGGTCGGCAATAATCCTAAAGGAAAGACATTACCAATAGATTCCATCTAACCAAGAAACATTAAGGTCAGAGATTCCCAAGCAAGACCAGCTGAGGCATTATACAGTGAAGAGGTTGGAAAAAAAAAATGGAGTTGGGAAGGGGTAGCACAACCAGTTGACAAAAGCTAAGGGAGGAGTCTGCTACTAGCCTTCAGATCCAGAGCCACAAGTCTGTCTCTCCCAGCCCAGGTACCCACTCCTTTCAGAGCCTGAATGGGGTGGGTGAGCCTACAGAGACAATTGTCAGTAGATTCTGGAGATATCACCCTGCATCTCTGCCTGTCACTTGATTCCTGAAGGATCCATACCTGCTGGAGACTTGGGACAAGTAACAAGCACCCATGCAGTATTCTTCTCAACACCCTCATGCCAGCAGTGGGGAGCAAGCTATACATTAGCCATATAAAGCAAAACCCAAAGTGAAGACAAAACAACCCCTTCCAACTTCCAAACACACTAGAACCATTTCAAACCTGAAATAAGACCTCAGTAATCAGGCTCTTAGGAAATCCTGTATAAGCCAATACTGAAGCAGCCTTTTTGCATCCTGTGAACCTGGCATAAAGCTTGACTTGCTCCCTTTTTTCCCATGGACTCAGAGCACAACTCCTCCCTCCTTTTCCTACAAGTGACACTGCCAGTGACAAGGTGATAGCAACCAGTGCTTCAGGTTGGTTTGTTTCATAATTGAGAAGAAAATCCAGTATTTCAGTATTAGTTCAAATTCCAGCTGCAAACATTAGTAATTGATTTGTACCTTTACATTCAGCATCTGTTTGAGAAGTTCGTTCAACTCCTCTGAGTAACGATAGGGTATTCTTCTGAACTTCCCTTCCCTTATCTTTTCTGCCAGTTCCTTTTGGTTGTAAGCTGTAAATGGAGGCCTGAAAAAGAAAAAATTTTCTGGATTCTTCCCCTGGTTTCACAGAATGTATTTTTAGAAAAAAGTATCAGACTAAAAAGCTGCAATCAAGGGTTTGTTTTCACTACCTAATGTCAAGACAAATACAGAAATAAAAGTCTAGGACTAGACCCTGAAACCTTTAAGCTATCATTTATACAAAATTTAATCATACCTGCATTAACAACTATGTTTCCATATTCATTATCACACTACCATACTTACGAGAGAGCACATAGTTCATACAGAAGACATCCTAGAGACCAAATGTCAGATTTTTCATTGTATGACATGTGGTTCATTTGCTCCTAAGGAAAGAGAACAATCTTAGGTTTATTAAAGAAGACAGTGTTCCACTAATGCAGGATAGTCAGCTACTGTTCAAACCTGAATTAAGTCATTACTTACTGGGGTTACTTCTAAGATTCTATCTTAATTAATCTCCACATTTAATCATACTAGCAGGATTTTAATAAGTTATGGCAGTACTCCACTGCAGAAGACTCACATGTTGCACCAACCTTTAGTCAATACAACTCCATTTCAGTCAAAATTAATCTTTTCCCCAAGAAATGCACTATATCAGGGCAATAAGTAATTTCTGCTCATTTCACTACAAATTCAAATCCTACCATCAAGAGGTAACTTAAGCTCTTTACCTAAGCACTACAAAACATAAAAGCTTTCTAGATTCCCTGTTCCTTTTCAATATACTACAGCAGCTGTAATACCCCAAGAACAAAACAAAACTTATACAGTGAAGAGTAACTTTAATTAGAAGGCAGTTGACTATGTGGGGAAGAAAGGAGATGAAAATAACTGCAAATTAACCTTGTGTTCAGAACATACACAGTCTATGAAAAAAGTCACCTGCATTTCAAACTACTAAGTCTTCATTTAAACATCCCAAACATTCATGGACTCTGAAATCAACACTGTAGAAAACACACCTTGGAGGGGCAAAAGGGAAGATAGAAGGTCTAAGGTATAGAAGGGAGGTCTTACTGGAGACATATAATATGGAGTTCCAACAAATGTTTTGGCAAAGCTGGTGTCATGATGCAATATTCTAGCCAGTCCAAAATCTCCAAGTTTCACATTCTGTTTGCCATCCAGAAAGACATTTGCTGGTTTTAAGTCACGGTGCACAGTGACTGCACCGTCGCTCCGTCTGTGACACTCCTTCAAGGCCAATGTTAATTGAGTCAATACTCGGAGAACAAAGCTTTCTTCCAAGAAATGCCTGGAAGATGAACATATTTTTTAACAAACAGAGGTTTTGAACGTACATCAGTTCAAGTAGCTGCTGTCAGTCTTAGTTCTGTAACTTTTTTAACACACCTCTTATAAAACATCACTGAAACAACCACTATCAGCAACAGGTATCTATGCATTCTATTTTTAAACTTGACTTTTTTTTTTTTTAAATTACTGCAACTATGTTGAAAGACATTTATACTTTTGTTGCAAAATCCCTGTAGCATTTCCTTCCTCGCCCAAACAGTCTATGGCACACATAGCATTTTCATTACTTTCAACACAAATATCAATTTGATCCTTTTGTGATGGTATCAGTCCCTTGATGACTTAAGATAATAGTACATTGTCAGCTATTTATAATAAGCAACATCCAATAACAGAGTCAAGAAATGGTTGATTTTTAATATAACCTTCCTGAAATGAGAACACTGATGTTGCTGGGCACCTGCGGTACTATTTTAGACTATTCTCACAAAGTAACAGAGGTGGAGTCATGTACTTCTTTAACATGAAATGTGAAAACTGATACTATACTTAAGTAAGCTCCTAAGTCTAAAATTAGACCAAGGTGAAGCCTTATCAACTTGATGTCTCCCCAGGCTTTATATGCAAGTACATAAAGTAGCTTTTCACACTGTTCATAATTATTTTTCCCTTCCATGTATTTCGGTGTTTTAATAAAACACAGGGTCCAGGTAGTTTTACTGACAGGGAAGCCAGAACCCGCAGAACAAGGAGTCTGTCTACAAGAGCTAGGATTTGCTCTTTATGTTTACAACCCTATGTATAGCCAGAAACCCCTCAACAGCTTCTGCCTCACAAGAGACCTCGGCTTTGGGGTTTTTTTTTACTATTTCAGCACTGACATCCAGCCTGATGGTGCATTCAATAGCACAATTCCCAACGCTGCTGTAGTTTTGTACAAAACCTTTCACATTTGAGAAGAGTTGTTGGGTCCAAGGGGTTAAACCCGAAACTGCTCAGAAGTTGAGATGCATTCCCCTTCTCTCTGGATTGGCCAAGACACCTCGTGTAAGATATTCCAAGCGTGCCACAAACAGATTTCACGTGCCTTTCTTTCGAGCACTTGGCAATCAAGCTCGCCAGGTCTCCCCCATCGCAGTACTCCATCACGATGTACAGGGTCGTGCTGCTCCTGTCGATGATCCGGTCGTAATACCGGACGATGTTCGGGTGCCGCAGCTCTCTCAGCAGGTTCACCTCCGAAACGAGCATCTGCTTCTCTGACTCTGTCATCGAGCCATAGTCCATCTCCTTCCATACCAAGATCTGGGGAGGAAGAAACACCTTACGGAGCGGCTGGGACGCCGGCCAGAGCCTCGAAAGGGGAAGAGAGAGGGGCTTCCAGAGCCGCTCGCTCGCGTATCTCGGAGAGGCGGCAGCGCCGGGCTGAGACCCGCGGTAACGGCACAGCCGCGCTGCCCCCGCCTCCTCCTCCTCCTCACCTTGCCGTCGGCCTTGCGGCGCACCTTGCGGCACTTCCCGTAGGAGCCGGCGCCGATGGTGAGCAGCACCTCGTAGTCGTCGGGGCGGCCGGGCATGGCGGGCACAGACAGGGCGCAGGCTCCGGCCCCAGCTCGGCCCGCCCACCCCGCGCCCCCCAGACCCGCCGTACCGCCCGCGCCGTTCAAACGCACCGCCCCGCCCGCCCATTGGCCGCGCCGCGCGCGTGCCCCGCCCGTCCATTGGCTGTGCCGCAGTAAACAGCGCGCGCCGCGGTCGGGCGGGTACGGCCGTTACCGCTGGGGGCGGGGCCAAGGGCATCGCGAGAGCTGCGCGGGACCGTCGGGCCCCACCCGCGGGGCACCTGCGGCACGCCCTCCTCACACCATTTTCCCTCTTTTCCCCCTCTTTTTTCCCTTTTTCCTCCCCTTTTTCTTTTTTTCTCTTTTTTTCCTTTCCTTTTTCCTTTTTCCTTTTTCCTTTTTCCTTTTTCCTTTTTCCTTTTTCC